AAGCATTTGGGGTAACGCTTAATTTAAATTTTACACAAAATCTACCTGTGCTAAGAGTCCTTAATATGAGTCATAATGAGATTTCCACACTGACAACAAAAGAGATGTATAGCAAATCATTAGCAGAACTTATATTTGCACATAATCATTTAGGGAAACTTTGGAAAGACAGGGATGGCTCATACAAGAAACTTTTCACTAATCTCTCTAATTTGACAATTTTAGATATATCCTTTAATGGCATTGCAAAGATTCCAGATGATGTTTATGAATATTTGCCACGTAATCTGACCACACTGCGCATAAGTCATAACTGCCTCAGTGATTTTAGTTGGGACAAACTGCCTTTCCATCAACTTCAGATTTTGGACCTGAGTTACAATTCTCTGTCTACTTTAACAACTATTAACTCAAACATCACACAAACTTTGATTTTCCTTGACCTGAGTCATAATCACATTTTCCATGTGGACAATGGTTTTTTACAGAGTTTGAAAAGCCTCAGGACTCTCAGCCTTAGTAACAACAAATTTACTGTTGTCAATGGAACTACCTTCAAATCAGGACCTGCATTTCTGACTTTGTTCCTACAAGGAAATCCATTTGAGTGTACTTGTGATTTGTTAGACTTTGTTTTGTGGATTGAACAGAGTGATGTAAAGATCCCAAGACTCACCACTCAGGTGACATGTAACACACCAGTGAACTTGAGGGGCCAAGTATTGATACGTTTTAGCATTCATCAGTGTGTAAATGCGGGTCAGGCATTTCAGATCTACGCTCTAACAACTTCTATCATTATTCTTTTCATGGTTGTTTCAACAGTTGCTCACTTATTTTACTGGGATGCTTCCTATGTCCTACACTATATGAAAGCTAAGCTGAAAGGGTACAGATCCTTGAACTCGCCAGATACTATTTATGATGTCTTTGTGACATATGATACAAAAGACCCACACGTCTCTGAGTGGGTGATGAGCAATCTGCGGGTGCAACTGGAGGAAGAGGGAGACAAGATACATGCACTGTGTCTGGAAGAGAGGGACTGGCCCCCAGGAGTCCCACTGGTGGACAACCTCACCCAGAGCATCCAGTACAGTCGCAAGACTCTGTTTGTCTTAACAAAGGGCTACGTTAAGACCGGTGCTTTCAAGCTAGCAATGTATCTGGCCCACCAAAGACTGCTGGATGAAAATGTGGATGTGATAGTACTGCTAATGCTGGAGCCTGTCCTGCAGCATTCTCACTTTCTGCGCTTGAGGAAGCGACTGTGCGAGAGCAGTGTTGTAGAGTGGCCGCGAACAGCAGCCGCAGAGCCCTGGTTTTGGCAAAACCTGCAAAGTGTCATAAGAGTAGATAATCAAGTGATGTACAACAAGACCTATTCAAAATACTTCACCACCAAGTGAAGAAGGATAATAACGAGTTTGTTTTAAAACACGTGTGTTATATATAATTTCGAGTTTGGTTTTAAAGTGTTTCTTCTTTGACTGAACTGTTTTTAAGAACTAGCAGTCCATCTGCATCTTAAGGATAAGGACACTCTTTCGAGGATGCCAATGTTCACATTTTGGACAGAGAGGACAGATGGTTTGAAAGAGGAGTGAAAGAAGCCATCTATGTCCACTGTGAGCGACCATCTTTGAACAGAGGCGGGGTTTACGACACCAACTCTCTGCCATCTATAATCCAGTTTTGAGATCCCTTCCCAGACGCCTTAACACCCACTCACATCCTGGGCCATCTGATCTCAGGAATTCGCATGATAAGGTGGGGCCAGGTTTCACAATGAACTCACCCGAAACTCTGGCTGATTGGGACCCACACCCAGTTTCACACCTTGGCTCAGGCGATTAGAGGATCATCAGGGGGTCCTTTTGTCCCTCTGTGGGGGGAAACTCCCACTAGGTTTATATCTGGGACTCTCCACCATTTGACCTTAGAACTGAAGAAGCTTCTCGGATGAGAGGTGAAACGTCTTCAAGTAACTTAAAGAAGTCCAGACGCTTTTCTTTGCAAGCTCCTTGACTACGATAACCTGGATGACTGAGAACCTTCACAGACAGAATGAAAGATTATTCTCTATGATGTTTTCAAAAAACACATTATGTTGGTCACTTTTAATGTACAATTTAATGCAATGGTCTAACACATTTTCAAAAAAGCAAGGGCCACTTCCAAAATTGAATTAACCAAACTATCCAGGTTTTTGGAGTCAAATCTATGAAACACAACAACTAGAAAAGAATCAAAGATAAGACAGATCTCTTTACTTGTAGTAAAAATCTAAGTTACTAAACAGAGAAAATAAAAAGACTTACCATTGTGTTCCTATTGTATTGTTCCCTGAAAGACAATCTGGAAAACCTTTGTCATGCTCCAGTACTTCAAAATCTTTCAGTCATTCGTTGAAAAAAAAAAAATTAGTTTATTTTCTTTAGATTTAGTAAAGTTAAATACTGCTTGTCTTTTAAAGCATGAATTTATAACAATTTCGTCTGTTTGAAGTTTTTGCTCTTTGTCTCTAGACAGTTAAAGAAAACTCTTTAACTAAAGTCAAATAAGGAAGTAACAAACTGTTAACAACATGATAGCGTTTGTGAAGGAAGTAGCATGTTGTTATGTCCCCAAGAAGGAAGCTGATGAATTGAAGAACTACACCTGTTTCATTTCTCTCTTTCAAAGCATTGTCACAGTTTCATTGCCAACTGAGCTGTACGTTAAAATCTCCAGTGAGCATACCAATGAGTGCCAGTCAAATCTCTAAAACGGTGTGAATGAAAATGGAATTTAAAATTAACACTGTATTAGTCATTAATATTAAATTAATAATCCATCTGCTCACAAACTGATGTATTTTTCAGTCGGACAGTGACTTTATGGCTAAAATTGCAAACTCCATGACTGCAAGCACCATTCAGGCATCGTTACGATGGAGTAAATGTGACTAAAAGTCTCAGCTTGATAAATTACAATTTTTTAAATTTGCAATAAATATGCAACTTCATAACTCATTTTCATGTAATGGATTACGAGACTTCCAAAAAAACAAAGTGCATTAATATTGCATTGTTAATATATCTACTGACAAACTGATGTGTTTCTGTGTGGGACATTGACTTTAGGGTTAATTTGCAAGCTGTAACTGCATCACTGCTGCCACCACGTGGATAATTTAATAGCAGGCAAACACAGAACATGCTAGTTCTAACCAGTCATACTGTGTGGATTCTGGGAAACTCTGTGATGGAGTAAAGTTTAGGATGTGTCAATTTTGCTCGAAATTGATCTTTTGTGGAACTGTCTTAACTCTGCTCTGCTC